ATAGTTTTTTTATTTCCTTGGGAGCAGAGTTTTGCTCCTGGAAAAACAGTTATATGTAATAATGGAAATCCTGCTGGTGAGCGGGTATGCATAGCCAAACACTTCATGACAGACACTTTGAGAAACAGCCAGGGCAGAGGATTAATTTCTGTTAGGTTAAAGACATTCATTCCAGCTTCTCGGTCCGTGTGGTGAGAGCTTGGTTATTGGTCTGTGTCAGTGGGTGTAAAAGTGGGCTGGCCAGTCTCTGGGTTTAAAGGAATCTTGCACTTGGTACCTTGCGTAACTGTGTTCAAAGTGTTTTGGACAATGTTTAGGGTTCAAACAAAATATACAGTCAATTCACTTTACAGTAACTCTGTAAAGTGAATTAAATAAATTAATAAATTAAATAAATTAATAAAGTAAAGTAACGTCTCAAAACTCTGAAGCGTTTTGAGACGACTCGCTGATGTGAAAATACGCTATATCAAGTGTAAGGATTATTATTATTATAAACCTCATCAGCTCCCCTGAACGTCATCATTTTGTTTTTTTATTTTTTTGTCACCTGGCCTAATTTTTAGTTATTAGGTATTTTATCTGCTTGATCCATCAAAAGGAAACTTAAACTTAAGTGATGCTGAGGTTTTTTAATGCTTGTTTCAGTTCCTAATATTCTCAATTCTCACCTGAGTCAGAAGGTTGTTGATTTAGGTTCCACATTGTAACTTTGACCCCCAGGGCATTGCTGGAGATGTTTATTGTTGGCCATCCTTTGAATTAGATGGTAAACTGAGTCATGTCTGCTTGTTCTGGTGGATGTTAAAGATCTCATAGCACTACTCGAAAGTTTCTTGAGATGTCCTCCCAAAGTGAAAAGCACAATATTGTTGCTGTTTCTCCTGGTAACCTGGCCAACAATCCCCCAAATAAAATTTGTCATTCACTTCATTGCTATTTGTGGGACATTTCTACGTGCATATTGGCACCTAAACATACAAGTATAAATCATTACACTTTAAGAGTATATCTTGTGAAGCTAAACGAGTGTCATGACAGTTGTGAAAGGTGTTGTATCAAATGTAAGGATTATAATATAAACCCAACCTTGGCCTCAGGTTTCCTTAAACAGTTCATTTTGAGCTTGGGAAAGTGACATTTTTCTCTCCTTTAACCCAGGAAATTTATATTGATCAAAGAAATCAATGAAAACAGTGATCTGCGGCTGAATTAATTTGGCTGGATTGAAAAATAGCATTGGGATATCTTGTTGAAAGAGAGTTTTATTTTGACTTGTAACATTTTTAAAAACTTTCAGCAGTGTTTTTTTCTCTCCCATCCACACATGCAAAGTTTAAATGAATTCTCCTGAGAAAAAAATGTTGAAAGTGAGGTTTCTTCTTTTTGTGGGGTGAAAAAGTATTAATCATAATGAAGGGATTGCCATCTTTCCAGGCACCAAATGTTGCCAACAAGATCTCCCAGGCCAGGTAAACTCATTTAGATGGAGAATGCAGATAAAATGAAGTTTAGAGCGGTTGAAAGTTGTGATGCTAGAATTCTGATTTACATTACTCACTCATAATCACTGATCTAAGTGCAAATCATGAACTATGTTATTAACTAAATACAGTATCAATATTTAATGTCACTCTTTCAAACTTTTTGGGTGGTTGATTGTAGCTCCAAAGATAGCATCAAGCCATAATTTGCCTCCAGATTGCACAGTTCAACCTAACCATTCCCTATAAAATGTGCAGAGGAGTACTATGTGTTCATGCAGTGTATCATTGAACAATGTACCATCTACCCAGTGGGTCTAGATTTCCTGCAAGTATCTGGAATGCATAATAGATAATGAATGCAAAAGAATGTGAAAGTTAATGTGCATTAAATAACTAGGAAGCTTAATTCTGATATTAAATTTGTTTTACAAAATGTTCTAATCATGATCGACTGTTCATCTTTATCATGAAAAACTATTGTAATCAGTTGATGAGAATGTTCTTACCTTTGACTAAGCATAGCTTACTATTACGTGGAATTACATAGTGATATGACATAGAAACAGGCCATTCAGCTAAACAAGTCTGTGCTGGTGTTTAAACTCCACACAAGACCCATCCCACCTTTGCCCTTCTAACTCTCTCTTCATGTATGAATTAAATTTTCTCTCTAAATACATTGATGCTATTTGCTTCAACCACAGATTTGGACAGTGAGCTGCACATTCTCATCACCCTACACATGAAGAACTTCTTCCTAAGCTCCCTATTAGATATATCACTGGCGATCTTACATTTATGCTCTTTAGTTTTGGATTTAGGAAGTGCAACACTGAAACGTGTTAGTGTTGACACCATGGACCACTCAATCCTCCTCCACCGCCTCTCCTCCCACCTCAACCTTCAAGGTTCTGTCCTTGACTGGTTCAGGTCCTACCTTTCACACTGCCTCCACTTCGTCGCGGCAAACGGTTTCTCCTCCAGCCCCTGAACTGTCTTTGTGTGGTGTTCCTCAGGGCTCTGTCCTCGGACCCCTCCTCTTCACCCTCTACATGCTCCCCCTTGTTGACGCCATCCACAGACATGGGGTAAATTTCCACATGTATGCGAATGATACCCAACTCTACCTCTCTGCCTCCACCCTGAACTCCAGGACTACTGAGGTCCTGACCGACTGCCTGTCCAACATCAAGTCCTGGACTAGGGCCAACTTTTCCAACTCAACGTCAGCAAGACCGAGGCCATCCTGATTGTCTCACGCCAGCGTCTCCACACCTCAGGCACTGGCAGCATCAGCCTCCACGACTGCACACTCAACCTCACTAAGCCAGTCAGGAACCTGGGTATCTTGTTTGACCCTGAACTGTCCTTTCTCCCCCACATCCGCGCCATGACCGGCACTGCCTACCACCACCTCCACAACATTGCCAGACTCCGCCACTGCCTCACCCCTCAGGCTGCCGAAACCTTCACCCACGCAATCGTCACCTCAGGGTTTGATTACGGGAACTCCCTCCTCATCGGCCTTCCCAACTCTTCCCTTCACAAGCTGCAGATCATCCAAAACTCTGCAGCTCGTGTACTCTCGCGCACCAGGTTCCGTGACCCCATCACTCCCACCCTCACCCGACTCCACTGTCTCCCCATTCCCCAGAGGATCGAGTTCAAGATCCTCATCCTCACTTTCAAGGCCATCCATGGCCTTGCCCCCTCCTACCTCTCTGACCTGCTGATTCCCTACCAACCTGCCCATTCATCAGGCTCAGGCCTGTTCCATGTCTCCCGCCCGACCCGCCCTACCATCGGTGGCCGGGCTTTCAGCCTCTCTGCCCCCACACTCTGGTACTCCATCCCACGGTCCCTTCGCCTCGCTTCCTCCCTTGCATCCTTCAAGGCCGGTCTCAAGACCCCTCTCTTCGACCGTGCCTTTGGTCTCCCTCCCACCTCTCTGCCTTCCCTCACCCCTACACCACCCCTCCCCCATGCTCGGGCCCCGACATCTGACTGTTCAGCGCTTTGGGACCTCCTCCCCACCTGAAAGGCGCTCTATAAATGTAATTTTGTTGTTGTTGTTGTAGTGACATCTAGTGGCATAAAAATACTGGTCGTTAATTTTATTAATTCATCTGTAGGTTCGTAACAGTTTACTATTCATTTAAATAGGACTAAAAGATTGCAAATTTGTAACTTGCATTTAATTTTTGCCACTGATACAAAGGTTGAAAGTGCTGAATGTTCATTGAACAAACAAATAATCTTACTGCAAACACTTCACTCCAACACCAGTACAAACATTCAAGAGCAAAGACATGGATGCCTTTAAACAGAGGCAGTGACAAAGGCAATTCAGTGATAACACATAAGAGACATGCACTACCATTTTGTGTCATCTTCCACCATAATGCATTGAGATACGTAATGCGTGAAAAAGCACATATTATATAAGAAAGCAAGGCCTGACAATTGGTACCCCTTCCCCTATCCAGTTGTTCCATTAATTACGAAATATTAAATTTAGGACACAAGCACACACTAACATCAATAGTTGTGGAACTCTATTAGCAATGAGGATGGTTCACCATTGCATGCCAAAGTGCATCTTAGAGCAGTCCGCCCAAGTGGACGATTTAATATCTTCAGAGTATCCAATGAGACGTTGACTTTCAGGCAATCCCATCAATTTCAAATACAAATGAAAATTCCTCCAGATATCATATTTTGTGTCGAATGTCAGGGTGTAAATGAAAATGGAGAACAATATACACTTCTTTACCAATAAAGCTAGATCAGCATTCAGAAAGTACCTTAAAGGAATTTTAACCTTAGAGAAGATCCTTATCAACACTGGATGTTATTTCCCAATGGTCCAAGAATATTTACCTTCAGGGTAATGCAAACTGGTAAAAGGTAAATGGGTGAATTACCCCCTTAGGAGAAGGTATGTCTCTAACTGCATAAAGTTGTATTAAAGCAATAAGTGACAAATTGGAGATTCACGAGGGAACAAAAGATCTCATCTTTCATTTACAGTTCTCGATCGGTGTTTTTCCTATGGCTATTTTCTTTTCTCAAGTTTCAATTAGTTGGATAAGAGTGCATAGCAGTGAAGATTTTTTATACTGTGTATCCTTTTCTTATCTATACTTGATTTCCTGAAAAGTCTCAATGTATACAATTCCTGTAGCATAGTGATTAGTGCGCTCACCACACAAACGAGATGACCCAGGTTTGATTCCCAGGCTGGGGCGAAACCTTAGGTAAACTTCCTTACTCCACACACCTGTTTACCTAGCAGTAAGTAGGTATCTAGCTGTTAGTCGATTGGTGGGTTGCTTTCCAGGGGTAATGCCTCAGAACAAATTTTTAAAAATGTGCTCACTCAATCCACGACTGCTTGTGAGACACTGCTGTGCGCAATTGGCCGCTGCGTTTCGCCCACCAAAAACACAGTCAATCCACTTTATATTATATCCCGTGAAGCACTTTGAGGCATCTCAATGACGTAATCTGGCGCTATATCAAATGCAAGGATTATTATATATTATAAATTATTTCAAATCCTGTTGATAAATCTATGCTTTGTTGGACTTGACCTCTGGCACTAGATGCTGTAAGGACTATATTTTATTTGTCTATGAGTGCAGAGATAAACCATTTCTCTTAACATAAAAGAACCCACTGAAACTTCTGGAGGTTCTTTCAAGTATCTTCCAAAATATAAAGGACTACTAATCCCATAATTGGCCCCATCAGCTATAACTGTTCCTCTGATATATAGCCTTCTTTCAAGTCTCAGTTTCTTTGACATCAATACCTCCTGTGTTCTTGATGTGTTCCTGTGTTCCTAACTTCCTAGTGAACGCTCCTGCAGATCAAAGAAAATTATACTTTTTAAAAAATTTACAGTTTTACAGAATTGAACAATTTATAATAATGGTATGTTTGAAATGTACAGGTAGAGCATTCTTATTCCACAGAAATTCCATTGTGATGTGACCATTGTCGTAGTTCTTCTGTACTTGTGGAGATTTAGTTTACTATATTATATTGTGAATTTTTTTACAAGTGAATGCTGCTGGATGTGTCAAGAACAGAACAGCAGCATTTTATAGTATACCACAATGAGGTGATGTACAGATAAATGGTGCTATACGTATATGGGCACAGGTGTTATCTTCTAAATATCATGCTGTTGGCCACACTTTTTTGCCTTGCTTCTTTTTTTACTTAGAATAGTTGTAATTCAATTTATCTTTGTGTTCTATTTTGTACAAATTAATGTTTTTTAGGCAATTCTTCTCCCGCAGATTTTAATTTTTTTGTTTTACAAAACGTTATTTAGTTTTGATCTCGGTGACAAAAACATAAAATATACCTATTTAATTTAATATTAGTACTTCACACCTCAATTAGAAATTTCTGATCCTCTTTCAGTGATTTAGTAACTGAAAATAGTGGACCAAGCCAAAGATAAATTGCCTGTTAAACAAGTTTCGAACTCTGAATGACAACCTTAGTTTAGCAAAGATGAATGTGGTCATATATTTGTTTGGAGATCTCAATATTTGTATCAGTTTAAGGATTTTTTTAGACCAATAACTGGAGTTCACTGTCCGTCAACCCATTCACTTCCATGATCTTATTCAACTCGTCCTTGTATCGAGTCTGGTCCCGCAGGAAGTGAGGTATTTGCACATGGTGTAACATAGCAATACTCTTCAGCTTCTCTATATCTTCATAAGAAACCTGACAGAAACAAAAGATAAGAGACTAATCATGTTTGCTTTTCTATGCACAATAAATATAACATTTGTCCAAACCACTTCCTATGCACATTGCTCTTCAAAAGAGCAAGCACAGACATGATGGGCTGAATGGCCTTCTTCCGCATTATAAATATCTTTTTTAAAGAATATGCCTGGATAATATTCTGCAATGTTAGATTACTCGCCATATCTTTGAGTCTTGTCCAACCTGACACATAAGCCATCAACCAAATATGGGAAGACTGGGACTTGTCTCTTTAAAAGATGGCATTACATACAGGCTTGCTAGTGTGATAGACATTGGTTTGTCCTACTTCGACTGAACTGAATTCTCATCAATACTTTTTGCAGACTTTTTTTTATCATGTTAAACAAAACGTGGCTGATTTCCGTGTCACAGACATATAGTCTGTTTGTGATGTTCATGGTGTTATGCCAAGCTGCAAGTCGGCCATTTAGAATTTTTTACCAAACAATGGTAAGAATTGAAAAATAAACATTCATTGGTCAAACCACGAAAAATGTCTAAAATCGGCACACCTACACATTAGAATTGTCAGGGCTTCCACCACTTGGTTTGCATATTTTGGGGGAAAATAAATTCCATATTAAACATGTAAGTTTTGTGAAGTGAGACTGCAGCAGTGACAATTGACCTGACAAGGAAGTTAAACATGCCACAAAACAAGTTTGTTTTGAGTCAAGTAGGGAACTAACACACTTCTGTGAAAAAGGTGTTTGCAATGTGGAGATGAGATAGAATGAAAATAACAAGAAAGAGGCAGTAAAATGATGCTCCATGTTCTTACAAATGCTCAGTGTCACAGCACTGAAGTGTTTCAAAGCACTTCAGATTTACTGTAAGTGTAGTGACTATATGTTTATAGGCAAAGGTGGCAGCCTCTTTGCACACAGCAATGAAGTGAATAACCAATTTTATCAGGGGATTGTTGGACACTAGAAGAATAGCCCTTCTCATTTTAAATAGTGCAATGGGACCTTCAACCTCCACCTGAAAAGGTAGATGTAATTCAATTTAACATCACATTAGAATAACAAGCATCTCTGACAAAGCACTGCACTGGAGTATCAGACTAGATAAGACAGGCTGCCATCTTGACTATAATGACCTGTGTTGTACTTTAATATGTTTGTGTGAGAAGGCACTGTCAAAATGCAAGTTCTTCTTAGTTGACCCAATGTACACAGTGTCACAATTGTTTTATATTTAATTTACAAGCATCAAAATCCTTTAGGGAATGGCTAGATGGACTATAATGATCTTTTCTGGTCCTGTATAATCTTATGTTCCTACCAAAGCTCACAGGAAAGACATACACAATTCCAAACAAGCATTACATTTCACTGACCTTTCCCAGTGCTGTTAAAAGCTGGAAGTTGATGCTACTTCTGTGTCTCAAAATTTTAAGAATGCCATCTAGATATACTTGATCTTTGCTAAAACAACCTAAAGAAGAACAAGCGTCATAAAGGAAATCAGGTCAGGTCTCCACTTATTTATTCAATTCTAATCACTCAGTGTAAAGCACGATTTTCATTTTTTGCTCATTTAAGTGTCTTAAAGGCCTACATGGAGTTCTATTAATGCTGCTTATAATGTGAAGCTCACAGTTGGAATAACTCCAAATGCTTTTACTAATACTTCTGAAGCCTTTGCATTTCTGTCCATTACAGAACTTTGGTGATGCCATGTTATGTTTCGCTGAGCAGTATTCTAGGGCACTGCTGATGACTGCACAGCCAACCTTGCTGATCAGCAGGACCTGGAGGGCAGACCACTCACTGGGGGCAGGGAGTCATACCACTCAGCTCCTGTTAACCCTGCAAGCCAAAGCCTTAATGGGTTGGGTGGTCCTAACTGGACAAACGGTGGAAAAGCTTGCCAGACAGCAATATCAATGGCAGGCTGTACAGTTTTGGGTGGTAAAGATACCAGCAGTACCTCAACACATACTCTGGACTCTTGCCAACCTGCTCCTAATACTTTCCAGAATTAGGTAAGCAGGATGCATCCCTCCAGGTAGAGAGTGTGCATTCCATCTGAACAATCTATCTCTGGGAGTACATGGAAACCTCAGCTTGGTTTGTTTCCGAATGTATCAGACACCGGGTGACCAAAAAAAAAGTTTCCGTTTCACTTCAGATAACACATGCTACCAAGAAGCAATCTAAACACAAGGCAGAACTTGGATTGGATTCCAAAAGTACATTGTGCCTTTCCTGCACTTTGTGCATTTCAATAGAGAGTGTACTCTCACATTTTACTTGATGGTGGAACTGTATGGCAAACTAGGATGGGATTTCATCATATGGCAATGGTGGATGTGAGACCATTTCTTATATTTTTATTTATTTTTAGAAATTACAAGGTCTTGCAAAAAGAATCACAGAAGAATAAGAGGAAGAATTTTTAAAAATCAATTTGGGGCTTTTTTCATAGTTGTAATCATAATCATGTTTAGAACCTTCTAATTTCTGCCTGTTATTTCCCATATTTAATAGGCATTGCATTCCCTTTGCTATATTTATTAGTTGGAAATATTTGCAGTTTATTCAAAGCAAACTGGTCCAGTTTTACAGTTGTCCAAACAGTCTCCTGGTCATGGGATGTACCCCTGACTAATCCAATGCTCTGATTCTCTGTATAGAAATCCTACAGAAGTGAATGCAAGATTTCTATCTCTACAAATTTTCCATCAACACATTTTGAGTAGTAGCCACCATCTAGTCCAGTGCAAAAGAATCAAGATTTGAAAGTCTTATAAATTACACTGTCGTATGTTGCAGCTTATGGTATTCATTTAAGCTATGGCTATGGAAGGTGCAGATCCATCAAGGGTTAGATAATAAATGAGACTTCCCCATGCTAAATTGTTGTAACATTCCTGGGGGGGGGGGGGGAAGGGATCACATTTAACTTCTTGCAGGGTAAAGTGGTATATAGACACACGAGATAGGAAAGGGAAGGGAATTGAATCTTGTGGTTTCAAAATGTTTAAAACCATATGAAAAAAGAACTTTTAGTGGGTAATTTGCAAGCAATGAAGCCAGCTAAATATTTTGAAATAAATATGAATTGACTACGTTCTAACCCCAAGGGCAACATATTCCATAATCAGATAGCTTAGCACTGAATAGTTACCCCAAGTATAATAATAATGATGGAAATGAATGAATTTCATTGCTAACTCACTTGTATTTTGATCGGTGTAGAGGATGCTTCTGGGCGAGTTTTATGTGCCATGTTCAACATCCCATGAATTTGAATTACAACTGTTAGGTGTACATATTTATATTTGATGATAGGAATATTTTAAAGGGCTAGTATTCTTGGACTTTTGAAGTTCCAATTATAAAATTGGCATTTTGAAATGTCATCTTCTGATCTGCTGTTTTTAAAATGAATATCTGGATTGCATGCAAGTTGGAACACAGAAAAATGAAGTGAGTCTCCTCCCTCTATTGTGTCAGGGTCATGTAAAATAGCCTCCCAAAAGAGGGTCTATTGTCTGCTGATCACTAAAAATGAAAATCTTTTCCCCAGGTCTTTTTAATGGGATTTCCCTTAATGTAAATGAATAAAATACAATTTGCAGAACATTTTTTCACTGTGATGAGGACTCAGTGCTGTCCTACAACTGAATAAATCTGAACATTAAATAACATTGTGTTCTCATAATCTATGATACACACTTCTTCACAAAATGACATTAGCCACTTAGTATGAGATGCAAATGGATTTGTTTTAAGTTCCACACACTCCCATTTCACATATTGATCAATGGAAACACTTGCATTGTCAAAATGAGTGTCTACCTGCTTGTAATGTGTCAGTCTGACCACGCTTAGCTCGCACGCAGTAATCCCACCTAGTGTTTGGGTCCTTCACAAACTTGCTAATATCTCGGAAGAGCTCACTGAAGGACATAAAACTGGCTTTGTAGACTGTGTAGTAGAGGAGAGCTGCCCTCCAGAGGAAAGGGTCCTTGCGAAACAGGACACTGTGGATGCTGGCCAGTCCCTCTTCAGTTGGGTTCACTGGTTTAAGTGCATGCTTCTTACGACCATTCCAGTTACACCAGGGCTGCATGTTGTTGTTCAAACCTCGAAGATAGTGGGTACCTGCACAGTGAGCCCAAGATTTTCATGTTGAAAACAAACATTTAAAATTCCTGGCTGAAAAATGGGGCATATTGTCTCCCGCATTTACAGAGGTATTTTGCTCTACCTAGACTCTACCCTAACTAAAATGCAAGATGACTTTACTTCAGCTGCCATTCTGAATGCAAATGTTCCTAGTTGGGAAGTGGACCTTCCCCACAGCTTTCTGTACTAAACTAAAATTAGAAAATTTAATTGAAATCAATTAGGATTTACCATCAATGTGTCAAACGCAAACTCATCCTCTACCCCCACAGTTCTTTAGGCTGACCTCCATAAAACTGGTTCCTTAATTACTGCCAGTTTGCATTTTACTGAATAAAATTCAAAGTAGCCATAATGTCACTACCTGACAGTAGAATGTCCAGCCTGGTTTCACACAAAGCATTAAGAACAGCGTTGAGGGACTCACCTCCAGAGTATCCAGGTAATTATGATCTAATTACGAATTGTTAATTGAAACCCCTGCACCTCTTCCCATCCCCATCTTCATTTTTACCTTTTCCCTGATGAATAAAGTTGAACTTGGCATTGCTGGAAGAAACACCAATGAACAAACTTCAAGGGTTAAGTGTGTTGACCTACAGATCGTAGCGCTGTCTCATCTACTTCCAAACTACACCTTAATCTGAGCTACGAAAGACCAATGGGATTTCTCACACCTATCTCGTGTCTCAGCATTCCCTCCAGCCAGTGCTCTCGAGCAGTTGACACGTTGATTGTCAGAGTTGGGCGTCCATTCACTATAGTCATGGATGCACGTGAGAGCAGATCATCTGTCAGATGAACTGCAATCTGCAAAAGGAAACATATTGGAATTGGTGTGGTAGAAGAACATCTGAGGCAACCAACTATCATTTTATTCAAGACTGTAACAAGTAAACTTTACCATGTGGTGGAAACACCAATAATACTGCAGCGCCTATCTCAAAACCACACCAATTGTATCCAGTCAACCAGACAAATAGAATACAGTTTACATTAATATAGTGTCTTTCACATTGGTAAGAAGTCTCGAAGCACTTATACCGCTGGCTGGGCAGCCAAGCCAGGCATGGAGGCAAAACAGATGGAGAGGAGAAAGATGACCAAAAGCACAATCAAAGAGGTATGCCTTGAAACAGACCTCAAATAAGCTGAGGGAGGTAGCAAACTGAGGGAGTCTGGATGGCATTCTAGAGAGCGAGGAATGATAGCTGAAAGCTTGCCTTCTGATGGTGGTGTGGATAGTGTGAGGGACATGAAGCAGGTCGATGTTTGCTGAGTGAAGCGAATGGCCAGGTTGGTAGGGTTGATGTAGATAGGGTGGATTCCCTTTTCCAGAGCTTTGTACTCTGTACTTTGTTATAATGTAAATATACATCTATATTTCTGGGGTTTATTAAAAAAATCTATTTCTGAAACATATTTATTCCAATCACTTATGCTGGGAAAGGGTTTAGGCTAACCAACTAATACAACATAAGTATTCATGCTTAAAATGACTGGGTGCCAGGAAATAAACTCTGGGAAATGGCTAATTTTGGGCAAAAATTTCCATAATTTTCTATTGGCCCTAGATATAGCTTTACAAGTATAAACAACAATAATTCTGCCAACAACCCTATCTGCTTTCATTGTCTTACCAATTTAGTTTGGACAGAAAAACAAAAGCTCCGTGTTTTTACATTGCGTGACATAATGTAGACCTTAGCAACAAAAAGAAGAAAACAGTTTACGTATTTCTTTGCTATGCAAAAATAGATGTTCCTCTTGGCAAACATTTGTTATAATGGGATAAAACCAGTTCTACTAAATAAGTGTCTCCTTTCGGTTCCTTGTATTTGTTTTTTTTAATGTATATTTTTCAAAAAATGTTTGCCCATATTTAGCCATCCCTCACATTCCTCAGCCTGCTCCCACTTTATCAGATTGCAACGTGCTGGAAAAAATGTGAGCAAATACAAAAGCTTCCACTGACTGAATCCCAAAGGATGCTACAGGAAAGATTTGAATTCCAATTATTTTTCAACAACTTTCATTTCAATAGATGACCTGCAAGGGGAGCAAAGTATACACTATAATAAGGTCAGACTGGCAAATTGCTGAGTTCAACCAGCCTGCAGCCTGGGACTTGAACCAGTAGCCAGCTACCTACAAATCAGGTACTCGACATGAGTCTTCAAAATACCAAATATAACACTAACCATTCTGAGTTTACAGCAGGTGCCTGAAATTACCATAAGACCTGCACACATACAAATTGTTTATAGTTTGATCCAAAAGATACAATCAATCCACTTTACTGTATATCCTATGAAGCGCTTTGAGACGTCACCTCCCCTTCGGTTCTGTGTCAGGCTGCCTCTGTCAAGCGCTCCGGGACTCTACCCTGCATGAAAGGCGCTAAATAAATGCATTTGATATGGTGCCTTATCATGTCATTCTTGCAAGAATTATTCTTATTATATAGTGTGATCGTTTTAATTTTTGCCACTGGTTTCCTTTGATATTTTCCCCTGCATTTCTCCCCTCCCCTTAGAGGTATTTGACTCATCTTTTCAACTCCTCGAGTCTATCACCCCCCCCCCCCCCGTCTAATATTCCCTTCCCCAACACAGAGCATTAATAATCTGGACATCTCCACCAATGGCTCTGGAGTGGTCCTGAGCTCCAGACACCAAGAATATCCTTAATCTAGGTCCACAATTTCTCATGTTTTTAGGCTTAAGAGCACTGTATAAATTTAAGATTTTGTGGAATTTGGGGAAAAAAAATCTTAGATTCAAATAGAATTTGGAGGTTGATTTTCCACGACAACAAGAAAAAAACCCACAGAAAATTGCCTTTCAAATTAAGGCTGTTTTTAATTAAAGGTTGTTTTTCAAATTTCTGCGTTATTTTAAATTGTAAAACAGTAGTTTTAAGCTAAGAACATGAAAAATGTTGGATCTGAGCAAGATTTACCAACCGAAAAGAAACTTTATACATACAGTATTAGTGTCAAGTGACTATCAAAAAGAAACAAACTCAGTTTGCACGTAGAGCTTACGTCACCCAGACAGTCCTCCTTTTCCATGTATTTCTTCACAAAATACCAGATACGGCTCTTGGATAGTAGACTGCCTCCTGTCACTTGTTCAAATTTCTCATAGCTGCCGTATTTCCGGAGTGCCCTCTTCATTATCCTCACAGCCTAAGAAGGGGAAAAAAAGACCAAATGCAATTAAATATAAAACAGGAAGCTTACAAAAAAAAATTGCCCTTAAAACAGATATTGGTATATCCTACTTTTGAAGCAAAGACAAATGAGAATGGGAAGGGATGTGTGCCTGAGCTGCGGACAGGAAGATAGTGGCAATGCTATCACCCATTTCATGCTGAGATACGTTTACCCACCGTAAAGCTTGCAGGGAGATCACTGTACCTACCATCCACCTAGTGAGGGCTCAAACCTGCTCTTGTCGGATGTCGAACCAACTAGTGACTATCCATGGGGGGGGGGGGGGGCGCAGTGGGGGAGGTAAGCAGGGTCTCCTTGGAACTGAACTGGCTGCAAGGTGACATGCCTGGCCGTGGAATGTCAGAATCGAACCAGCCTTATGTGGTGGTCTGTAGTCTGCAGGATGCGTCCGTAGTCTGGTTCCTGAGCCAGGCGGGTCCGCAGTAGTCCAGGGCACTGCTGATGACAACACAGCCAACCTGGCTCATTGGCAGGACCTGGAAGGGCAGACTAGTTACTGGGGGCAGGGAGCCATACCATTCAGCTCCTGTTAACCCTGCAAGCCAAAGCCCTAATAAGTAGGGTGGTCCCAGTTGGACAAGCAGCGGGAATGCATGCCGGACAGCAATATTAATGACAAGCTATGCGGTTTTAGCTGGTTAGACTCCAGCAGTACCCTAACACACACTCTGGGGTCCAAAGGCTCTTGCCAATCTGCGCCTAATGCTTTCTGAAATTAGATAAGCAGGATGTGTCCCTCCAGGGAGAGAGTGCACATTCCATTCCAATAATGTCTCTGGGATTTATATGTGTAGGTGGGAAGCATGGAAATCTCAGTTTGGTTTGGATACACTTAAGCATGGTGATGGGTTTCCGCATGCATCAGACACCCGGCTGACCAAAAAAACAATGGTAAGCTTGGGCAATAGTAGACTTCTCACGCCTTGCTTGAAATTTAATTTGTCTCCTAGAAGATTGAATATTTTGACACTGTGTAATACAGCAGGTTCAGTCTGGAATTTGAAAACTGAGGCCTGAAAACCTCACCATTTTAGGCTTAAGGTAAAGAGCATGAGAAATGTGGGGCTCTGATGTCCTAAACCAGCCCCCACTGGGACCAGATTTATCAGGAACAGTACATGGACATGTTCAGGCCTGACATAAGAGCAGCAAAACTTCACAAATTTAACAACTTACAATCAGAGCTACACAACGAAACTCTTAACAGATCATTTATCAACAGTTTTACAAAAAGTGCATTGAGGGTTGTTATCTTCGTTGAATTGTTTTTGAACTCTTTTTGCAGTAGCTGTTGATTTCTTCCAGGTCAGTTGCACTGTAAAAGGATCTTTTAGTGAAAATGATACCTGATCATTCCAATTCAAGAGGATCAGGAGTTGCTCTTCCACATTCAAACTATTTATTCCCAGCGTAACATCTCTTTTACTGGACACAATGAAAGGAAAAGACCATTGAGACAATATTATGCAAGTCACACACAACAAATCCACCTTTTTTTAAAAAACTAAAATCATTTGCAGTATTTTACTGGATCACGGAAAAATGGATGTTCATACTGTACATATTGAAAATAAAACGCCATCTAGTGATGAATTTGAAAAGAAACAAACACGAGATCTGCCATTTCTAGTCATAGTGAAGTAGCCTTCTTAGCGATGATTTCCTTTTTTCTAAATTTTTGTTATTCTATTCCTCATTCTATCTATTTTCTTTGTGCACACCTTTCCCCAGGAGGTTTTGTTTAAATGTTGACAATAGAATCAAAGAACGTTTACAGCACAAAAAAAGATTTTGCCACTCGTGTCAGAGCTCCTCACTGGGGCTATCTGCTCTGAATTACCCTCAATTTTGCCTAAACCATTTAATATTACTTCCTGTCCAGTTTTTCTCTTAATGGCCCTCATTGATCCGGCTTGAGTTATTTTGTGTAAGACATTTCATATGTCAACAGCCTTCTGCGAAAATATGAAACAAAAACAGAAGTCGCTGGGAACATTCAGAAGGTCAGGCAGCATCTATGGAAGAAAGGAAAGTGAGTCAATGTTTCGGGTCCACAACCCTTTGTCTTGATATTGGGTGTGTCTTCTAAACTCTTTTCTTCCGAAAACCAATTTACATTTTCTTGTTACTAACTATCTATCTAGCTAACTAACCAATCAATCAATCATTCTCAATTTAAGCAATCAAAATCAGTCATATTTTGAAAACCTATTGGATCCACCCTTTAAATACACTCTGTTGTAGTGAAATAATTAGCAATTAATAAAATCAATGTGAAATAGAAATGCAATGCCATCTCCATGCAAGGCTTTTTAAAAAAAAGTCTCTGTAAAAAGCACTTCACATTTCCAGCTGCCAGTCTCTTCACACATCAGGTTTCACCCAGAAGAAATGCAATACCAAGGTCACATAAAATAAATGTTGTAGGAACACAAGACTGTTCATGGTTGGAAAATATCATTACCATTAATCCAGGTGGTCTCATTTTGAAACACCATCTTACACTAATAACCCTCAATCCCTTCCACCATTGTAAAAATGTCTAATTCCTTTAATTAAATGCAGTATTTCCCTACTTGGCCAAGAGACAGAATTCATTACTGTCTGCTGGGACTGTTATTCAGTTCCCAACGTGGTATTTAATTATTTACTATTACACTACACCATTGCTATTAAGGAAATGCATGTCCCAGATTCCTGCCAGCTAACCTATTAATCCCTTTGTGTTCATTTTCTGAAGCACTCAATTCTTAGCTGTCATTTCTGTACAAACTTATTGTGGTCCGTCATTCTGTAGCGTTCCTCATGGACGTTAAAAAGCACCAGGCTTCCAACTGCATCTAATTGCATTTGATGAGCAATTATAGACTTTCAGACTGCAAAAGCCTCCTCTATTCTCTAGGCAAGCTGCAAGTTATTTATTAATGTTAAACTACAGATACAATATTTTTTTCCCTTTTATGAACCAGGTTCGGCCTTCTTACCAGCTCAATACAAGTCGAAATTTTGATCATGATATCCATCACTTTTCCACATTAGCAATGCTTCAGAGTTTGAAACATTAAATATCTGACCTTGCAAGCTTTCCTTTGCACTTGATGACCAACATTACACGAGAAAATTTACACGACAAACCTAATATATTACACTTCAGATTTCTTCAAGCATCAAAGATCCGGATAAGTTTAAAAGATAATTGCACTCCTTTCATAACATTTTTTAAACTGTATAATTTTATAGCTGATGTTTACAAATCAGAATAGGTTGGAAATAGAGGCTCTGTGACCCGTGTCAGAAGTAACCTTGAACATGTTGAAAGAGGTAGGATTTGAGGCAGGACTTAAAGGTAGAAGATCCAAGAGATACGCAAATGGCAGGGTGAATAGGTATCCACAACCTTTTGGGGGAGAGAGTTCCAGATTTCCACTACACTTTGGGTGAAAAAATGCCTCCTGATTTCACTCCTAAATGGCCTAGCTCTAATTTTAAGATGATGCTTCCCTTGTTTTGGATTCCCCCACCAGAGGAAATGGTTGCTCTGTCGAAATATGACAGATCATTTACAGTTTTAGACAAACTCTACATTGACTACTGTTTTGTCTATAGAAATGCTATTGCAATACACAAAGGATAGGAAAAATATATATAGTGATCACAGTCTTAAGGGACAGCCCTTTCGAAGAGTTGAGGAAACACTTCTTCACTCAAGAGGGTAGTGAATTTATGGAATTCTCTACCCCCAAAGGCTGTGGATGCTCCGTCCTTGAACATATTCAAGACTGAGATTGATAGGTTTCTAAAGGATAGAGGGACTAACGGATATGGGGATAAGGCGGGCATGGAGTTACATTAGAAGATCAGTCATGATCTTATTGAATGGCGGGGCAGGCTCGAGGGGCCGAATGGCCTACTCTTGCTCCTAATTCCTATGTTCAAAAACTTTATATTACTGATGTGCATAGTAAGGTGGACCTTGTAAACTTCAACAATTAATGATTGCAAATAACGATATTTTTTCACTTTGCACAGTAGCCGTGGTGGTAGTGCTGTTGTACAGTTCTCTAATTAGTTCAGAAATATCAATAAATGCAGTGATCCACTATACAGATGAACAGTTTGAAAAAAAATGAGGATTTTGCAAGAATAACGATAAGCATTTTTAAAGAGTTGCTCAATTAAATCCATCAATTTCTGGGTAGAGGCAGTCAGCTTATAATAACACTGTTCTGCAATTCACAACAAGTGAATAAACAGCGACAAGTGATGGTTCTGCTGGTCAAAATTCTGCATGGGGACGGTGGGGGTAATCTTACTTTTTGTAAATTCACAGATTTTTAGTGGTGTGAATTATTGACATAAAATTCCATTATAAAGTGTACACTTACTCAAAGGTTGTCGTGAAGGATTGTGAGGAGAAAGGGCGAAGGGCAGTCTGATCGTGATTGTCTATTCACGGACAGCAAGGTCCCAATCCAGGTCAAGCTTGTGGCATACAAGACCTGTGTGTAAATAGTTCTTCTTTATGGTTCTGAGCTCCTGGGGATGCAGTGGAGAGGATAACTCTGGCCCATTTGCAACAAACATGAGGTGGATTTGTGGCAAACACAGAAAGGACACTGGCCTACACTGACCTATAACACTTCACAGCAGGCACGTCTATTTGCCAAAGCCCCTCACACAAGGACCTGGATTAAGCAGCTGGTCTTGAGTAAGCCTGGAACGTGCCAATGAACTTGGACCTTGAGAACATAAGATGGCTGGAATATCACAAGCTATGCTGTAAAGGTCCTCCCACCATGCTGATGAGGAAACTCTGAGGCTTGGGGTGACAGGTGCTGGAAGGCGTTACTTGGAGTCTGAGTTCATGAACACGTTCATACACCCAGGCCCTGGAATCAACCCCAATTGGTTTGCAGAGAAATAACGCACCTCCAAAGGGTGAAACCATCACTCATCAGAAGGGATTTATGTCCAATCTGTAGACAGGAAGATACTGGCAATACTCTCACCCATTTCATGCTGAATTGTGTTGTCCACCAGGAAGCTCGCAGGGAATTCCTGGTACCTGCTATCCATCTAGTGAGGGCTCAAATCTATGCTTGTCAGATGTCACTACTACTGTCCAATTAGCTCACTACTGAATGAATCAATTTAATAATTGATGGTGTAATGACAACAGAATTAATTCACGCGCTACTAAGACTGAAATAGAAGTATTTATATTTAATAATTTATTTAGCTGTGGAAAAAAATTATTCTTTAATCATTGACTCAAAGTGGATAAAGTGGTTACAAGATAATTCAAGTGAGAGTTAAAGAAATGTGTGGCTTATCGATTTATTAGTTCAAAACTTTGGAGAGAAGCAAATTAAAAGAGATTGTTGACTAAACAATGTGTTCACATCTGGACAGGATAATTTGAGCAGTTCATGATAATGTGGAATCCTGTAGCGTATTGGTTAGATCGCTCGCCTTGCAAGCGAGACCTGGGCTTGATTCCCGGCAGGGCGAAACATTGGGCAAGTTTCCTTACTCCTCTTGCCTCTGTTTACCTAGCAGTAAGTAGGAACCCGGTTGTTAGTCAATTGTCGGATCGCTTTCCCGGGAGTAACAATCCCTTTAAAAAAAATTGGTCGCTCAATTCACGACTGTTTGTGGGACACTGCTGTGTGCAATTGGCTGCCATGTTTCACCCACAAAATATACAGTCAATTCACTTTCCAGTATATTCTACAAAGAGCTTTGAGACATCTTGAAGACGCTATATCAAGTGCAAGGCTTATTATTCAACCATTCACAGTTAGTAAATAGAGGTGGCAAAAACGATATGTCCTAGGTTAGTGGTGTCCAAAACAATATGTCCTAACTAATACAAAGGATATTATAAGAATGAATTGTCATTATTAACAATGAAAAGTTGAGGGGGAAGAATACTAGAAGCAAGTTATTTTTCCAGTTTCAGTTTATTTCAATTGAAATGATCCCAGAATTTAGGAAGATAGTGTCAATTGTAGTGTGATGGTTGAGTGACTTATAAGGTCTTGAACATGCTAACAAACTATGTTTGCTCTCTTTGGTATTTTTTTCTGGTACTTTCCCATTCGTATTTTGATTTGCTTGCACTACTGATTTTTACTGACCTCTGCTGAAAAAGCTTCACCGTGATTAAGGCGGAGAGGAAAAGAGAGAGAGAGAGAGAGAGAGAGATGCGTTTAAGAAAATGAACAACCAAGACCATTCAAAAATACTTCTCCTTTTCTTGTTCCTGTTAACAGAAAACAGATACTTACCATCATTATGTCAGTCTTGCCAAGAGATATAATGCAAATTGGCATCTTAGTTACTTATAGCTTGTTAATTATAACAAGTAATTGGCGCAAGTCCCAGGTCACACCAGGTGGAAGGGTAAGCAAGACTTTTCAGTGAACATCGAATTAAGCACCATTTGGACTGTTATCCACACTGTGTGATCCTGAAGCATCCAATATTTTACTTTTTGTAATGGTTAGATCCACTTTATTAATAATAATCCTTGCATTTGATATAGCGCCTGTATTTTTGCCCGCAAATATACAGTCAATTAACTTTACACTATATTCTGTGAAGCGCTTTGAGATGTCCAGAAGACCTGAAAAGTGCTATATCAAATGCAAGGATTATTACTACAATCATGTCATTGAGACATCTCAAAATGCTTCACAGGATATCCTGCAAAGTGGATTGATTGTGAATTTTGTGGGCGAAATGCAGCAAGCAGCCAGTTGCTCATAGCAATGACCCAAAAAACAGACATGGAGTGAGTGACATTGTTGGCCAGGACATCGCATAAAACATCTGTCCTACTCCAGTCCACTCAGGAAGTCACAGTATAATGCCACATCACAGAATACAACAACTACAACAAATTATTTTTCATAACTTAAAAGATCTTAACATAAATTTAAGTACAACTATTAAAGTATACTTTATTCTTTATACATTATTTAGATTCTCTTCAGTGCAAATCCAACTATACTTTAATAGTTGATAGTTAATTTGGGGCTACATCAGCCTCACTGAGAGTGAGCCATTTTAGAAGCACTGTTCACTACACCATCATTTGATGACTTTTTCAAGGATAACAACTCCAAATCCAGATTTAACCCCATGCTTTTTTAAAAAAAAAGTTACCTGTTGAACGTATTTTTCCCTTGCACTACATTTCTTTGTCACTTAAGAAGCATTGTATTTTGTCATCTATTCATGACTGGGTCCTGCTGGCAAGGATTTTTTTTTGGGGGGCGGGTGGGGGAGCGGAGAGGAAGAGGAGGATCGCCAACACAGGTAATTGCTGGGAATAAATGTTTATCAAATCTGTAATAAATTGTCAGATTTTTCCACCCATATGTTTAAATTAAAATTTACAGTCATTAAATAGAATTCTGCATTTCAGAACTCAATAAAATAAATTTTGCTTTAACAGCAATTTCATACAAATCAATAACTACAACATTTTTTTAAAACCCATTCAATCAAACATTGCTGTACCTGAATAAGAAATGTATCGGAAGCATTACTGTGCCTTGCCAACACGTGGGGTGAAACAGGATTAGCATACTCAAACTGAGGATTGTAGGTGAAGTCAGACTTAAAAAATTTGATCCGTTCCTTTTCCACGTTTGAAGGTTTGATGGCACTCAGTATGCACTGCCGACGAACAGAGCCTTCGCTGTCCCTCACTTGAACGTGGCCGACCGTGGGCTTGGACTTCTGCAGACTTGTAAAATACAGCCTTTTTATCTTGCTTTTAGGTCTCTGGGACAGCCCAATGCCACTTCCTATTACAGATATGCTGCAAGGGAATTTCATAGTGCTGGAAACTAGACTTCCCACAATCAGGGGAGTGCACCGGTTACCAAGGTACCACTCCTTGCCCACCAATGGAAGAGGGGCGCTGGGGGCTCGGCGTTCTTTACTCCGCAAGACAGCTGATGGCTTGCTGGATTTCCTATGCTTCTTATGAAGGCTGGAGGACAAGTGTTTTTTCTCTCCTTTTGAGTGCAATAAAACATTGTAGCCATTGGTTCCATTGAAGATTTCTTTGAGAATACTGACTGAAACTTCTTGGAACCCAGTTTGGCTTGTATATTCTTTTCCAGTAGGATTCAGCAGTATGGACTTCTTGGTGAGCTCTACCTCTGGCCAGCGAAGCTTTTCTGCATGGAAAACAAAAATGGAAAGGTACAATTAATTTACATGGATATTTTCATCTCAATCCTGAGCACACAACCACCTTCCAAACAGCAAGATCATCATACAAATTGGATTGGAGAGGCACTATTTCCATTCCAATGTTGTCCATTTTGGGATAGGTCAAATCCCCAACATAAGAACATAAGAATTGCTACACGAAAGAAAAACAAGGTCCATCCAGTTCGCCTTCCACCATCCTGGCAGTCACATGCACGTGTCACGTCCCAAACTATATACTGTATCCCACGATATTATTTCCTAAAATAAATCTAATTTGCTGTTGAAAGAATTAACACTTTCTGCCTCCACCGTCTCCCTAGGGAGCCTGTTCCATACATTGAACACAAATAGTGTTACCGCAGATTCGTTTTGAATTTATCCCCCTCCTGAATCGCATGCCTTGTGCTCTGCTTCTAAACAAGGGGGTAAATTCAATAAAACAGTGTAACTATTTCCAATTACAACACTGGGTTTCTCAGTTTCCCGTAGAACACTGAATATAACGTTGAAAGAGAAAATGTGTTTATTTGAATGAAGATAATACAGATGGAGGTAAACCAAAGCTAACCAGGGTTTGGTGACAGATGTGTCTGACAAAGATTTACTGTAGCATATAAATACGATTTAGACAAACCCGAATGCTCCTCGGAATTGTGAATTAAAAGTCTGTCAGGCATACTAACTCAAATTTGATTGAGGCATTTAAAACAATAAAGAATTTGAAAGGTTATATAGTGAACTACTATACCCTTTGGTAGAGGGGTCAGGTACATGGGGGGGGAAATGCTTAAATTCAGAACTAAGATGGTCATAACTGAGGTCACAAAATATTTTTCATACAGAACGCTGAAGAGACGGGAATCGATAACAATGATCCTTGCATTTGATATAGCGCCTCATCGCGTCTTCGAGACGTCCCAAAGCGCTTCCCAGAATAGACTGCAAAGTGGATTGGACCGTGTATTTTGCGGGCGAAACGCGGCAGCCAATTGCGTTTTCCCCCCCACCCACCACCCCACCCCACACAAACAGGCGTGGATTGAAATGACCAAATGAATCTTACTATTATTATTAAGTAATAGTTTAAAAGAAAGATGCGCACAGAGAGGTATTAGGAGTAGCATTAGGAACAATATGTAGGGCCATTCTGGAGTCCTGTAGCTCAGTGGTTAGAGCACTCGCTTTGCAAGTGAGAGACCCGAGTTCAATTCCAGGCAGAGGGCGAAACCTTGGGCAAGTTTCCTTACTCCACACAGAGCCTAATAATAATACCTCCAAAACCAAAAACAATAATAAATTGGTCATTTTCAATCTACGACTGTTTGTGGGACATTGCTGTGCGCAATTGGCCGCCGCGTTCGCCCACAAATATACAGTCAATTCACTTTACAGTGTGTTCTGTGAAGCGCTTCAGGACGTCCTCCCGACGTGAAAAGCGCTATATCAAATGCAAAGATTAATATTATTATTATTATTATTATGATGATTATGATTATTATTGTGATTATTATGATTGTTATGATTATTATTATGATTATTATTATGATTATTATTATGATTATTATTATGATTATTGTGATTATGATTATTATGGTTATTATTATGGTTATTATTATGATTATTATTATTATGATTATTGTTATGATTATTATTATGATTATTGTTATGATTATTATGATTATTATTATTCAGCCCCTCTCGAGCCTGTAGTGCCCGTTCTGTGGCTGCGACCAAAAGGACCTGAAGTACGTCAGGACGTCAGCCCCGCCCCCCCCCCCCCCCAGCCGCGCCGCGCCGCGCGGGCGGAACCTGCGCGCGCATCCAACCGCCGGCGGCGCTGCTGGCGAGCCAGCACTGCGGCTGCGCGGCAGGGCCTAGCGGAGCCAGGCTTCGCTTTTCCTCCCCCCCGCTGACGATGCCGCGGGCGAGCGCCTCGCTCCGCCACGCCGGCCGGCCGAGCCTGCAGGCTGAAGAGCTGGACCCGGAGGACGACGACGACGAGGAGGAGGAGGAGGCCGTGGCCGCGGCCGCCGGCGGCAGCAGCAGCAGCAGCAGCCGCTCCCAGACTCCGACCGCCTCGCAGGTTCAGCGCCACCTGTCCAAACTGACCCCGGCCGCCGTGGTCGACCGGAAGGTGAGCGAGGTGGTCCAGTACGTGCTGATCATGGAGCAGCGGAAAGTGCCGGTCAAGCGCAAGGACATCACGAAGAACGTGCTGAAGGAGTACAGGTCCATCTACTCGGAGATCATCCGGCGGACCGCCCGGACCTTCCGGCAGGTTTTCGGGATGGAGCTGGTGGAGATCGACACGAAGAACCACGCCTACATTCTGGTGAACCGGCTGCCGAGGCGGGAGGGCGACCGCATGAACTGGGGCCCCGCCACCCCGAAGACGGGCCTGCTGCTGGTGATCCTCTCCATCATCTTCATGAAGGGCAACGCGGTGAAGGACTCCCTGCTTTGGCACGCGCTGAAGAGGCTGCGGGTCGACCCCGCGGAGAGGCACGACGATTTCGGCGACGTGAAGAAACTGGTCACGGAGGAGTTCGTCCGGCAGCGGTACCTGGAGTACTGCCGAGTGGCTCACACGGATCCGGTGGAGTATGAATTCCGCTGGGGCGCCCGAGCTTTCAGAGAGACCTCCAAGATGAAAGTGCTGGAGTTTGTGGCAAAGATGCATGACAACCAAGACCCCAAAACATGGAACACCCAATATAAAGAGGCCCAACAGGAGGCAGCGTCCCTTGCGCAGTGAGTGCCCTCGGAGCCGGGTGCTTTCCCCCCCCCCCCTCTCAAGAAGCACCTGACTGCACAAACTCTCCTCAAACGGCGACAAAGCTTCCCTCTTTCATCTCTGCTCTCCTCTCTTGCCACTGAGCCATTGCGCTGAATTAACAGAGACCAGCTCGTGATGTGAGTGGTGCACATAGGTTGTGAAAGAAAGTGCCCACTTTGCTTCTTACACAGCAGTGCAATCGCCTCGCAAGCGAGAGGACCCGCGTTTGATTCCCTGGCAGGGTGAAACCTTATGCCAAATTTTCTTACCCCACACACGTGTCTGTTTACCTAGCAGTAAGTAGGAATCCAGTTGTTAGTCGATTCCTCCATAAATAAATAAATAAATGATGATTTGGTTACTCAATCCATGACTGTTTGTAGAACATTGCTGTGCGCAATTGGCTGCCACGTTTCGCCCACAAAATATTGCAGTCAATTCACTTTACAGTATATTCGCAAAGCACTTTGAGACGTCTCGAAGACATGATAAAGCACTATGTCAAATGCGAGGATTATTATTATTTTGAAAAAATAAGCCTGACTCTGAGCCGTGGGGGGGGGGGGGGGGGCAGTAGAGGTGGCTGTAAGCATGGTCGAAGAGGAAGGTTTTCAGGCTGGATTTATAAAAGGGGCAAGATGGGGGATTGAGGGAGAGTGTTTCAGAGATTTGGTGTGTCGTGGCTGAAAGCACGACCTCCAATGGTGGGGCGGAGGGTGCGAGAGACGATTGGAGGCGCCGGGTGGTGGATTGGGAAGTGAGGAGATTATCTGGTTTTCATCCTGCCCACAGAACGGAGACAGCTTGTCAAAGTCACAAGCAACATCCTCCCTATCTGTGACCGGGGCTCCCTCTGCCTCCTCGTCCTCCTGGATCTCTCTGGCGTGTTCAACACAGTCTACCACATCATATTCCTCCACTGCCTCTCCTCCCTCATTCACCTTAGTGGGACCGCACTCGCATGGTTCGAGTCCTACTTAACCAAATGCCTCCGTTTCACTTCGGCAAATGGTTTCTCCTAACACCCCTGCTCGGTCACCTGCAGGATACCCGAGGGTTCCATCCTTGGCCCTCTTTTCCTTGTCTACATGCTCCCTCTGGGCAATGTCATCCGCAGACACGGGGTAAACTTCCACACAAATCTACTTTGCCTCCTCCAGTACCAACTCCAGGTCCGCCGATGTTTTTCAGCTTGTCTGCCTGACATCAGGGCCTGGATGAGTGCAAACTTCTTGCAGCTGAATGTGGACAAGATGGAGTCCATACTATTTGGATCCCATCAACTTCTTCACTCCTGCAGATCTAAACTCCTCAACCTTCCTGATCTCTCCCTCAGATTCACCGAACCATTGTGCAATCTAGGCGTCCGGTTCGAGCCCCCGGGAATGAAATCCATCCACTCCCTGGGCACCTCCCTACCTTTCTGACCTCCTCACTCCCCAATCCACCACTCGGTGCCTCCACTCGACTGGCACTGACCTCCTGCTCATCCCTCGCACCCTCCGCCCCACCATCGGAGGTCACGTTTTCAGCCACTATGCTCCCAAAACTCTGGAACACTCTCCCTCAATCCCTCCGCCTTGCCCCCTTTCTCCCCCTTTTCAAGTCCTGCCTGTAAACCTTCCTCTTCGACCGTGCTTTCGGACACCTCCCCCTGGATCGGAGTCAGGCTCCACCACTGTTAAGTGCTCTGAGATGCTCCCTGCAGGGAGGGCTCTATATAAGTGCAAATTGTTGTTGTTATACAAATTGGGCTCCGAGACTTTGCTTAAAACAATGAGAAGCATCAAGTGACACCATCCTGTCTTCATTCCCCCTGGAGTCCTGTAGCTTAGTGGTTAGAGCACTTGCTTTGCAAGTGAGAGACCTGAGTTCAATTCCAGGCAGGGCGAAACCTTGGGCAAGTTTCCTTACTCCACACGCCTAATAATAATCCCTCCAAAAACAATAATAAATTGGGCATTTTCAATCTACGACTGTTTGTGGGACATTGCTGTGCGCAATTGGCTGCCGCGTTCGCCCACAAATTTACAGTCAATTCACTTTACAGTGTGTTCTGTGAAGCGCTTTGGGACGTCCTTCCGACGTGAAAAGCGCTATATCAAATGCAAGGATTATTATTATTATTATTCCTTTTTACAAAACGGATTGCAGGCATTCCTACTGAATCTCATCAACAGTCTTGAAGCAGCCAACAGCTGGTTGTAAAATGTAAGCGATCGATACAAGCACAAGGGTTTCAGGCAGTGGAAAGAGAATAAGTTCTTTAAAACTTATAAAGCTGGCTGCTGGATTGACCAATGGCAATGAATCACAGTAATGCTGGTAACCAACATCTTCATATCAAGTCCTTCAATTCTGTTCCAATAAAAATAGAAAACCAGCAACAAAAAAAGTACAAAAACATTTGGCGAACGCTCATGTAGAAATTAAATGAAGCTCTAAAATGTAAAACAATAGTACTCCAAAAGTTTAAAAAATAAATTTTCAGCAGAGAAGCCAATTTAACCGATGTATCTGCCACTAGTACCGGATTTTCTTTCACCTTTTATTATTAATCCTGCTTTCTGGCTCATTCCATTTTACTGTTTGGCTGCTTATCCAGTTTCCTTTTAAATAATTCAATTGATCCAGCCTCAATAACCACTTGTGGCAAATGAATACACTACCTTAACAACACTCCAAATTAAGACATTTCTTTCATTCTCCCGATTCTTTTGCTAACCCTCCTGGTTTCCAAGACACAGATTAACAGATGACTGGAGAAAAGAATGGAGATGCAAATACAATACAAGGCCTTATGTTGTGTAAGGAGATCACAAGTCCTCTGTGACAACATAAAAGGAGTTGCTGCAGCTTATACTGTTTTCTATGAAAAGCATGTTCCCAATGTTAATAGCAGCAATTGTTTTCTCATTTTCAAAGCAGGAGTGAACAATCACTCCTAATTAATATAACAATGAAGGAATGTGAACATCTATGTTGACTTTTAAAATATCAGTTCCAGGATTTAAATCTGATTTGGAAACAATAAATTAGATAGAAGCTCCAGATGTCAGTGTTTCCAAATGGTTTTGTAATTTGCAAGTCAAAACTTTAATTTTAATTTTTTTTCCTGACAAACTAATCTTTAATAGTCATCAGGCTCCGTCAGTTAAGCACTCTGCTGGAAGGCACTATATCAGTACAAATTTTTGTGAATTGTTGTTGTAATTCTAATTCTTCCATTTTAACAGCTCTTTGATATATTTTACAAAACATTAAAGACCAAACAAGAGTAACCATATTTTGCACCTCTTTTCAATGAATTGAATCCTCAGTGATTCTTCTATCCTCTCTGGCAGATATGGACATACTTAATGAATGGAACAAGTCTGGTCCCAGATAAATCATCTCTGGAAACTATAAACTAACCTCTAAAATATATTGGAAGCCAAAACAAGATTGCAATCCATGTACCTCATCAAACACAGGTGATTTGTTGATACAGAATACACTACTGAATGGAGTTGATTGCTTATACAGTAAGTAAAACATTGCACACAATTGAGATGGTCTGAAACAGATATGTTGAAGTTCTTACTCCACTTGAATTTTATCCCTAATTGACATTCAATTTCCAAGAAGTCTCTGAAGTTATTAAAATACAGACATTAAGTAGGTCACCACACAGACAGTTTCTAATCACACAATTTCAATTTTATCCATTTTGGTCACAATAACATTCACAAATAGTTATTGATATTGCAGATCATTGCACTTCTCAAAACAATCACTCGCCTCACAGAATCTGATTCATTCATTCTGCCTTTTACTTTCACAATTCACTGTTTACATATAAAACATCACAAAAACAAAGGTGTAGTAGAAACAAGCCAAAATGTAGCGAATGTTTCTACATCAGTGTAGAGTCTAGTCCATTATATCAGTCTGTTGGTTGACTTGTAGCACGCATGACTGCCTACTTACCTCTCTTTATAGGCACCTTAACCATTTAAGCTCCAGAAAATAAATCAGGATCCAGGAGTTTAATCATAAAAGTACATTCCACAGAGTGCAATGAGTTTGGGAAAGGCAACTGTAGTGAGGTTCAACTGTCCCTTCAGTATTCTTGTTTTACACAATCATGATTAGAAAGATACAAAATTTATTTCCAGGCTATCAGATGGCCTCCCAGGACCATACCCAAGTGTTTACTCATAAAGAATCTCAACTTCATAGGCTCAAATTCCATCCAGTTTTGGCCTGCAAGACTATTTTATTTTCAAAGTTTTGGATTATGCAGAGTTGCAAAAATTCATACGTTTAGTTTTATTTGGAAGTCTTTTGTAGTTCTTAAAAAAAATCAGCTTCCAATATTAAGACTTGAATTTAAGATTTTTCCACAGATCTTATACTTCAAAGCAAAATGGTCATCCAGGTGTCGAACGCATGCAGAAACGCATCACTAAGAGTATCCAACCATACAGAGTTCCACGTATGCATGCCACTTATACATGGCGTCTTGTTTGACCCTCAACTATCCTTTCTACCCCACATCCATGCTATGACCCGCTCTGCCTTCCTCCACATCTGCAACATCGCTCGGCTCTGCCAGTCTCACACCACAGGGCACTGAAACCCTCATACACGCATTCATAACATTAGGCTTGACCATGCAAACACCCTGCTTGTCGGCAGCTCCCAACTCCTCCCTCCATCGGCTGCAGATCATCCAGAACTCAGCATCCCATGTCCTCTCCTGCACCAGGCTCCATCACTCCCATCCTCATCCAACTCCATTAGCTTCACATCACATAGAGGAAACAGTTCAAGATCCTGGTCTTCGCTTTCAAAGCCCTCGATAGCCTTGCTTTCCCTTACGACCACCTGACCCCCTACCAATCTGTCCGCTCCCTCCGCTCAGCGGGTTCTGGCCAGCTTCATGTCCCCCACCGCACCTGCCCCACCATTGGCTGGCGAGCCTTCAGCTACTCTGCCCCCACCCTCTGGAATTCCATCCCGCAGTCCCTCTACCTCAATCCCTCCCTTGCCATCTTCAAGACCCATCTCAAGACCCTCCTCTTCAACCGTGCCTTTGATCACCCTCCTTCCCCCCGTCCTCCACCCTCCCAATCCCGACCCTCAGCTGACTGTCCAGCGGCCTTGGGACGTCCTCCCGACGTGAAAGGCGCTATGCAAATATAATTCTGTTGTTGTTGTTATACATGGAAATTTCCCTGTGCCCATAATAAAACGGGTGCTCTCCCTGGAGAGATGCACCATGTATACCTAAATTCAGAGAATATGAACAGGTTGGCAAGAACCAATGTTTAGGGAAACCAGTGAGCGTGTTGGGGTACCAGCTAGCTTGCCACTGAAACACTGTGTGGCAAACATCCCACTACTTGTTGAGCCACGACCCACATTTAATAATAATAAGCCTTGCATTGGATATAGCGCCTTATCACGTCTTTGAGATATCTCAAAGTGCTTCACAGGATATACTGTAAAGTGAATTGACTGTGTGTTTTGGTCTTTGACTTGCAGGGTTAACAGGTTGAGTGTGAATACTCCCTGCTCCCAGTGACTAGTTTGCCCCTCCGAATCCTACTGACAAGCCAGGCTGGTTGGTCTGTCACCAGCAGCGCCCTAGAGATTTGCAGACCTGTCTGGCTCATGAACTGGACGACTCAGACCACCACAGAGGATTGCCTTGATTACAGCCTTGCAGCCAGCTCAACTTCAAGGAGACTCGGCTTACTTCCTTCCCCGCAGGAGGCTAAGACTAGGTGGAATTTTAGGCCTCGGTCGAAGTGGTACACAAAAAGAGCAGCAAATCAGAGAATTTCCCATCTTGAGAGCCAAGAACCAGCCATTATGTTCACCAAAATAATATCACGCACAACTGATATGATGATGCAATCCGATATGATCCACGAGGATACAACAGGTTGAATGTAAGCAAATGAGGACTAGTTTGTCAAACACTTCTTTCTATGTAGGTAATTTCCCTTTAAAATGACATTAGTTTTTTTAAAAAAAACTTAAATGCAATTCAGTCAGCAGGATTGCACAAATTGGCAAGAATCGTATGAATCACAATGCACGGAATGAGAAAGTGTCATTCAGTCCATTAATAATAATAATACTAATCCTCGCATTTGATATAGCGCTTTTCACGTCGGGAGGACGTCCCAAAGCGCTTCACAGAACACACTGTAAAGTGAATTGACTGTATATTTGTGGGCGAACGCGGCAGCCAATGGCGCACAGCGATGTCCCACAAACAGTCGTGGATCGAAAACGACCAATTTATTATTGTTTTTGCTTTTTTGGAGGGATTATTATTATTAGGCTCTGTGTGGAGTAAGGAAACTTGCCCAAGGTTTCGCCCTCTGCCTGGAATTGAACTCAGGTCTCTCGCTTGCAGAGCGAGCGCTCTAACCACCGAGCTACAGGACTCCACGTAAGCCCATTGCTCTCACAGACCACGTACAACAAACCAACAGCCCACCATGGACTTCATTTCACCAAAACCCCAGGGGCAGGGAAGGCTCTGCAATTAAGATACCCTCCGATCATTCAAATGTAAATCAAATCAAAACTCCAGAATATTCTGGATTATTATTATTATTATTATTATTATCACAACAAGTGCACTCCTCAAACCCAGTCTCCTGGTTGAATCAATCATTCAGCATCAACCAGTCAATAACATTGCTCTGATTTGGGGAGTTGTTTTTTTAAAAAAAAGGTATATGCATTACGAAATGAGTCCAAGTTCGGGGGGAGGGGAGGGGGGGGGGAGGGGGGGAGGAGGGGGGGGGTGTCCTATTGCACATCCCTGAAAATATTACTAAACATCTCCTACTTGAATAAACACGTTATGTTCGAGCCACGAGAGAGAGATTTAATGCTAAAAAAAATTTTTACCACACACACACACAAAAAAACACACACACACACACACGACTGCAGCTGCAATGCGTCGGGGGTGGGGGGGAGAGGGGGGGGCGAACCCCCAGTGCTCTGGAGATTGAATGGGAGCAGATAAGCCACAACTCGCCTCGACCCCCCCCCCCCCCAGTGACATTTTGTGGGGGGGACGGGGGACGACGACGAGAAGGACCTTTCACAACACACCGAGAGGTGCGGTTTCTGCAGACAACGTGTGGCGAAGAAAAGCACGTACCGGTCACTCGAATTGACTCCAGCATCCCCAGCAAACTCCGGCACTGCACACGGTCCAGTCCGCCAGGTCGGTCCCCCTCCCGCCCCCTCCTCGGCCCCCACCCACCCACCCCTCCCCCGCAGTCCGGAGGGCACAGACGGTTTTCGTTCAGACAGCGATAACGACAGCGCCTCTCTGACTCGCCCGGGACAGCGTGGAGGCACCGGTGCACTCTTTGGAAATCCTATGCATCTATAATAAATAATCATATGTCATCTATATCTATCTATCTATCTATATATATATATATATATTCCGCACGAGGCTGTATTTTACAACTGAAACTTGCAGCGCATCGTGCGGGTGCAATGCGGGAGGGCGGCCTCGAGGCTCGGCTCAGCTCTCAGCTCTCAGTGGCGCAGACAGCACTGCCGCAAACTGTAGCTGCTCCATTGGCCGCGAGGCGCCCCCTCCCCTCTCCCTCTCCCTCTCTCTCTCTCTCCCTCCGTCCGTCTCTGTCGTGCTCACGTTCCGCTCTGAGCCGCCGTTCCCACGGCAACGACCCTTTGTGGCGTCGTCACTTGGAGGCGTTGTGACGTCGTCGCCCAGCAACGCACTGCGCAAGATCCTCTGTCTGTCTGACTGTCTGTCTGACAGATCCTCTTCTGTCTGATTGACTGACTGTCTGACTGACTGACTGTCTGATTGACTGACTGACTGACTGTCTGTCTGTCTGATTGACTGACTGACTGTCTGTCTGATTGACTGACTGTCTGACTGACTGACTGACTGTCTGATTGACTGTCTGTCTGACTGACTGTCTGTCTGTCTGTCTGATTGACTGACTGACTGACTGTCTGTCTGTCTGATTGACTGACTGACTGTCTGTCTGATTGACTGACTGTCTGACTGACTGACTGTCTGATTGACTGACTGTCTGTCTGTCTGACTGTCTGTCTGCAGTGGAGCAGGAGAGAGCTCAAGGCTGCTGTTTGGTGTCAGGTTTGCGCCACAGCGACTGCAACACAAAGTGCCAGTCAGGTGCCTTTATTACAAATCCAATCCGATCAAATCAAAATGCAATTTTCCCGCTTTATTACATCTTTAAAATTTTAACGTGAACGTGCAAATAATGATAATGATAATAATAATCTAGAGTTATCCTCCTTGGGATGGAGGTGAAGTGGGGTCTCCGTAAAGCTTAACGTGACGTGTTTGGCGACGGGATGTCAGAACGCTGTGTGGCGGTCCCTGCAGTCCGGTTCCTGCGCCGGGCGGGTTTGCACTATTCCAGGGCACGGCTGATGATGGCACATCGGCCGGACCTGGAAGGGCAGACCAGTCACTGGGGGCGGGGAATCCTCGCGCTCAGTTCCTGTTAACCCTCTGAACCAAAGCCATAATGGGTAGGATGGTCCGAGCTGGACAAGCAGCGGGAACGTTTGCCAGGCAGTGCTTCAATGGCAAGCTGTGTGGTTTTAGCTGGTTAGACTCCAGCAGTTACCCCTACACACGCTCTGGGGCCCCCAAGTCTTGGCTCTTGTCAACCCGTCCCCATTGCTTTCCGGAATTAGGTAAGCAGGATGTTTTCCTCCAGGGAAAGTGCATGCATTCCTTTCCAATAAATATCTCTTGAGACGGTTCTATCACCCTTATGTGTACACCCACGATATGGATCGCTCTCTCGCAGAGTGTACTGGGTGGCCTCTTATCTTCAATCCTCACTAATGAATGCAAGTCCCTACAACTAGGTCTAACTTGACTAATGGGTTCTTCTGCTCAACATATTTTAAACAACAGACAGGCATAGGAGACAAGTGGAAACAAAAAAACAATTCTTATATTCAGTTTTAATTTTGTTTTGCTTAATGGTGTTTTGGAGTATTGTAGAAAACAAAGCTTTTCATATTGAATTAAAGAACTTTACAAAATTCTGTGCAATTTTATAACTTTTAAGACAATGGTCCAAAAGCCAAGACCATGATAATTTTAGGCCAGAGCCCCACCTGTGTAAAGTGATATGTATGTCACCTGGTAAAATCTGATTAACTGCCAAAGGAATTAAAATATGACTCTCAAAACATGAAATGCAGACAGATGATTCACCTATTATTGAAAAATGAAACATTACACTTTGAAGCTACACTTTGAAGTAAATACTACGGGTGCAAACATAATAAGTTTTGAGACCAAGGAGAATTTTGGAAAAGTACATTAGTCAAACTAGCTTTCAACCCGAATGTTTGTACTTTAAACAAATACAACAATCTGTTTCTTATTATTTTAATCTTATTCCCTTTTTGTTCCAAATCCTATAGAAAGCTTGTTAGCTCCCAATGTAAGATGGAGTGACAATTTACTGTTTCAATCTCTAGAAACTCCTGGTCCTGAGCTCTTTGACTTAAGTCTCTACATATTTCTCATCCCTTTGTAACCATCAAACATACTTTAGGTTATAGGTCATGCACTTAGTATGAGGCTGGAACATTATCACCTTCCTTTAGGATTCTGTCTTCTTATTCTAATCTCTGTTGCTGAGTAACCTACTGACCTTTGGCACTTTTTGAGGAATTTATTTCCTCTGGCTCCAGTCTGCTGAATTTATCTGTCTCTATACAGACCTTATTTAATAATTTATGTGCTGGCATGTGCAATTCTAATTGTTTAAACTGGCGTTTAATATAGGATATGTTGCTCCATGATAATTTTAAGACTTTGGAGAGTGATCAGTAGCAGGAATACTGATTGATTTCCTGCTCCCTGACACAATGGTGTTGAGGTCAATTGTGGCACCTCAATAACCGCCATGGCTGAAATCAGCTCACTCAGCAAAGACCTACAACCTTCTGTCATGAATAGCCTATTGCAGAGATGGGCACCTTCGTTGTCTCAGTGGATAATTGTCCCGCTTGTAGAGTACCTACCATTAAGTTGCGTCATCCACAACAAAATTGAGTGCTACAAATGGCTTCCATATTCCTGAGCAAAAATAAGTCAGGATATTTGTTTCCGATTTATATCCCATGACCTGTGCTGTTGAAATATATTGACTATCACCTCGGGATACATTGGTATATTTCAAACAGTAACCGAATGTTCCAGAAGATTTGATAGTTAAATAGTTAAAAGTAGCTTTGCTGGATGGGCTGAGGTCAGCTTCTGATTACATTTCATATTTTCCTGGAAAGATGTTCACTTCTCTGAGATAATGACCAATCGGGACCTTGAACATAGATGTAAGAATATTGGACCACAGAAAGAAAAGTGCTGCAGCCTCAGACACCTGCCTCAAGGCTGAGGAACACGCAGGCTGTGGAAGGCTGCCCAGAAGTTGTCTATATCGCTGTCTGTGAAAAGCAGATGCAAAGGGTGGGGGCTATCTCTGTGATAAGGGTATAGGTGGAGTTGGAAACAAGTAAAAGAAAGATGTAACTTGGAAATAGAGTTGCGTAGAAGGTCAGCACACTTCCCAAATGGAATCGATATCAATTCTACTGTATCTACAGGGTGAGGGAATTTACCTCCAATAAGAAAGTGACCATTAAAAGTGAAAGAGGGGGAATAGTGGGTAATGTGGTTTGGGTTCTGTTTGCTAAGCAGAGAAGTAATAACAGTAGTAGTAGTTGCTCCAGGGAAACCCAGGAGTCAGGTTAGGCAGTATGAGTTAGGTCTGGGCTAACAGTTCGTTGTGTCTGTTGAGTTTACCGGAGCCACTCTTTGTGATTTGCTGTTCCCATTGTTGAATGAATATTGGTGGGTATGACTGTTGGGTCCAAGGGTTTACCGATCACCAGTCCCTGATTAGTGTTGGTATTACAAGAGTCAGTTGTCTCTCAGGGTATTTCCAGGGGCTGATCTCTCCAGTGTATGTCAAGTTGTGATCCCAGGTCTACTGTTTAGTCTGGAGTATGAAACAGTACCTGGATATGTGTTGTTGTACCTGTATCGTCAGTACTACTCCTTTGGTCTGGAGAAAGGAACAGTGTCTGGACACGTGTTTGTTTCCTATATCTGTGTCATTATTATTGTATTGTTTTATGTCAAAGTTAATTATAGATAGTGAGCTTTACTGTTTGTTTTATAAAGTAAACACTATACTCTTATCACCTCCTGTCGCATTATTAACACTGCTGAAAGTGCGCATGGATATTGGGTGGGAAAAGAACCAAAATGATCTATTTTGCTCCCTTGGTCAAATGCTGCAGACACTCACTGTTAAGGATCGTACATGAAGAATGATCACTTAGGCAAGTTACTAGATGATGGATACCACCCATAGAAATGCATCCCAGAAAGTCACCACATTTAGGAGTGGCAGGGAAAAAAATGGGGCAAGATTGGGAGGCTGTAAAATTATAGCAGTTGAGACAATGAATTGGATTGGTTTTCTGTTTCTCCATTTACATTTTCTATCTCCTTCTAAACCAACCCTGAGTCATACCACTAGGTATATAATTATTCACGAGCTCTACACATTTAAATCCCTTATCAGGATAATACAAGATTTCTTAGTTCCATCAATATACATCCTTTACATATTAGTGCCTATTTCAAGTTAAAAGTATATCAGTAACCTTTATTCAATGGATCTCAGACTTTAAAATACAGTATCTCCAGACTTTGATGTATTGTTGCTGCTGCCTAATTACAGGCATTCAATTTGACTTTTTAAGACAGCCTGTGCAGTTGTGGAAGATGTTTTGGCTATTTCTGTATGATAGCATCCTACACTTGACAGCAAAGTGAAGCACTTTGAAAACTTTAAAAGCAATTAAATGCAAGGATCATTATTATGATTGTTGAGGAGGGGAAAGCATTATTACGTAATGGAATTGTCTGTTAGAGAACATTGCATTTTTTATCTCCATATCGTGTAGATAAGGTGAATATTAGCTGCTCCCACTGAGCCTGCATGAAGGAAATGTTTTCCTTGTCGGCATTTTTCTCTACAAACCGTCAGATTTGAACTATTGAAAACAGCCAATCTCTGTTGTGAATGAGGTCAGGAATTTGACAAAGCTTCTGTGTGTCAAAGGAAGGTATAGCACAATCGTGATGCTTTAATGTTTCTTCCACAAATTCACTGATTCACTATGTTAACCCATTTAATTG